ATGGTCATTTCCCCATGTTTTTTTTTGTTTTGTTTTAATCTTTTGAGACAGGGTCTCACTATGTAATGCAGGTTGGCCTTGAACTCGCAGCAGTCCTCCCGTCTCAGCCTCCTAGTGCTGGGATTATAGGGATATGCCACCACATCTTGCTGTCTTTCTTTCTTGTTTCTTTCTTTCTTGTTTGTTTGTTTGTTTGTTTCTTTGTTGGTACAGGGGATCAAACCCAGGGGTGCTCTACCACTGAGCTGCATCCCCAGCCCTTTCTTTAGACAAGGTCTTGCTAATTGTCCAGGCTGGTGTTGAATTTATGATCCTTTTACCTCAGAGGTAAAAGAGTACTGGGATTACAGGTTGCACCACCATGCCTGGCTTGATTTTTGATGAATAAATGGATAATTTTTTCTAAATCATTTGTGGAATATTTAACCCTCATCTATTATTTTATATTCTTCCTTTATATACTAGTTCTTGTATGCAACAGAGCTCATTTTAGTTTCTACATGTACATTGATCCTAATCTGTTTGTTGATACTTACAAAAGACAGTCTTCAATTTCTTTATTTTTTAATTTAAAAAAATGTAGTGATTCTGGTGTTTGAAGCCAAGGCCTTGTGGATGTTAAGCAAGTGCTCTGCCATCGAGCTGTGTCCTGTGCCATCTTTGATTTTGAGACAGGATCTTGCTCAATTGCCCAGTCTGGCTTTAAACTTATGATTCTCTTCACTTAGCATCCCAAGAGGCTGGAATTAAAAATGTGTGTCATGGCACCTGGTTTTTAATTTTCTTTCAGTACTGGGGATGGAACCTGGGGCCTTCTCACTAAGCTACATCCTCAGACCTTGCTATTTTTTATTTTGAGACAAGGTCTCACTAAGTTACTAAGTTGCTCAGGCTGGGCTTGAACTTGTAATCATCATGCCTCAGCCTCCCGGAGCGCTGGGATCACAGGCCTTCACCGCCATGTCCAGCTCTTATCTCTTCTTAAATTTTGATGTTTTCTTTCTAGCAGGTCTCTTGTTTAGGGTAGGAACTTTAAGAGGAGCCAGTGCTTGCTTCCTCTGTCATGATTTCCCTCCTGAGAATAGGAGGCATCTTTGGAAGGTTGAGTTAAGTCTCCCTCTTAGGAATGGGTGAGGAACTGGTGCTGGAACTGTGGCTACTTGATTATCCCTCCACCCTAGCAGGCGGCGCTTCCCCTGGGCAAAAGCAATCTCACCCAAAGGCACTTGGTGAGTGGAAACTCACCTCCAACATCCTCAACGGCTGCTTTTCAGTACCCTAACCTGAGTGTTTTTCTGAGTCCACCCCAGATCTCTGGAGCTGAGACATGGGAGAGTGGAGACACAGTAAGATGCTTGTGTGCTGGGCATTGTGAGGAGACAGTATAGGTCCAGGAGAGCTTTGCTGAACATCCTGAGACCCAAGAATGCCTCTCTGGGAAACCCTGTAGGTCCTGAGGATGATCCTCTCGCGATGTGGGGCTTCCCCTCCCACAGTGAAGGTGCTTTGGTTGCAGGAAATACATCAGTGTAAGTATTTTTGGAGAGCTGTTGAATAGAGGGGTTTGAGGAGGGATGTGACCCTCGCCTTGAGGAATTATCTCTGGGATTGAACGGACAAAACTCACACCAGGAAATAGGTGCAAAGAGGATGCAGTGAGTGCTAACTGCACTGGGTTGCAGAGAGGTCTGGGGTCATAGGTAGCATCCTGAGAGAGGCCAGACTGGCTAGTGGCTTGGATAGGAGTTATTATTAGAAAAATATTGAATAGAATTTAAAATAATGTAAGAGAATGCTAATGATATCCCCAGAGAGAAAGAACTTAGACAGGTCAAAGAGAGGAAGGGAGATATTCTAGGAAGGATGAATGGTAGGAAGCAAAGGAAGGGTACCGGGCTAGACGAGAACTGCAAAAGCGACCTGTCCTAATTTTAATGCTCAGTGCACGAGAGGCTTC